GTTGTCAGTGTCCAGGTCAGTTCCTGGCACACAGTAGGCACTTAATAAATACCTATTATTGAAAGATGGGGTGCTGGACAGGGACAACTGCAAGCTCAAGGAAGCTCAGTCCTCCAAAGGCAAGACATTCCAGGGGCCTTGAAAGGGAGCGCTCAGTGACAGCAGAGAAGGAAGGGTAAACCCTCCTCCACCTCTGGGTGACCTGCCCTGCCCCCTACTATGTTCTCCTAACCCCCCTGAGCCTCATAAACGAGAGCACCCACCTCATGAGGTTATGTGAGAGATGAATGAGAAGATACGTGTGAAGGGCTGAGAAGGTGCTGAATACATATGTAATAAAGCCCTTCTGTTCTTATGTAAAGAGCACTCAGAAATAACTAACAGGAGCTGGAGGCATAGCTCAATGAGACTCAGGGTGTAATCTTTGGCACCATGAAGAAAAAAAAAGAAAAGAAAAATAAAAAGGAAAGGCAAAGAAGGAAGGAAGGAAAGAAGGAAGGATGGAAAGAAGGAAGGAAGGAAGGAAGGTTGGTTCTTTGCTTTCATGTAGATTCTTTGTTTCACTCCCCACAAAAAAATCTTTCAAGGCAGAATCTATCAGTCCCGTTTATTGATGGGGATAGCAGAGGCACAAAGAGGTGGAATGACCTCTCCAAGGTCACACAGCTCTATTCTAGGACAAGTGGCCACAGGTCATCACAGCAGTTGGACACGGTGTGGCCCACACAGGACGGTGTGATGAGGAGGCCAGGGAAGATGCTGGGATGGAGGGGGACATCAGAGGGGGAAGGAGCCAAGGCGCTAAGGATCTGTCCCCCTCTCCTCTCAAGAGGCATGTGAGCCGCCCGAGGAGTGGTGGGATGGAGGCCCAGAGTCGGGACCCTAACCCGCTCCTCCCTGCTTTGGTATTTGCACCCCCAGGGCTGTTTCCACAAGCTCCTGAAGATAACCCAGACCCAGAGCTTTACCCTGAGTGGGTTCTCCCTGGGGGCAGCAGTGATACAGGTAAGACCCGACCTCTCTGGAGGTCCCCCCCCACCCGCCCCACCACCCCGTACTGAGGGTTGAACTCAGGGATGCTTTACCACAAAGCCACATCCCAGCCCTTTTTATTTTTGATTTTGAGAGGGGCTTCACTAAATTGCTCAGGGCCTTGCTCAGTTGCTGAGGTTGACTTTGAACTTGTGATCTCCCTGCCTCAGCCTCCCCTGTTGCTGGGATTCCAGGCGGGCGCCATCACGTGGGACCACATCAAGGCCCTGAGGTGGCTGAACACTGTTCTCCTCAAGGTGGGAGGGGCCGTAGTAGGGAACAAAGGACAAAAATCTCTCCCAGGTGGAGCTGACGGTCACATGACTATTTCTGTTGGATACTGGCTGCAGGCTGGGACGTAGCGCAGTGGTGGAGCTCTTGTTTAGCGTGTGCGGACCCAGGGTTCCATCCCCAGCACTGCAAAAACGAGACAAAAGGCAAGAAAGAAGGGGGGACGTCACGAGAGCACTGGGCCTCCCCCTGATGTGGGAGAGGAAGAGCACTGGCTCATTCTGGGACGTGTCTTCTTGACCTCTTTCCTGGTGGGCGTCTCGTGGGGACAAGAGCAGAGACCCTGGACTTGGCCCCGGGTGCACCACTCACTAGCTGTATGAGGCCGTGGCCTCCTCTCATGGGTTGGGAGGCACCGATGAGGTGAAATTCAAAGGCTTTGCACCATGCCCTGCATGAACTGATTCCGGAAGGTTCTCCTCTCAGTTCTAGAGAGACCTTGTCTAGTGTGTCACAAGGCAGTGGCTGTAAGGGGATGTGTACACCACACTTCACTGGAGAGGCCTGAAGGCCGCTCACCGTGGAGACACTGTGTACAAGGGCTGTTCTCACTCCTGAGCCCTGTCTGAAGAGCTCTTTGACATGGACAATC